ACCTAAAAAAAAAAAAAAAAAAAAAAAAAAAAAAAAATTTCATTGCCAGCTGGCATACGAACATCTGTAATCTTAGCTACTGGGGAGGCTAAGTCAAGAGAATCACAAATTCAAATCCTGCTTGGGCAATTTAGTAAAATGGTCTCAAAAAATATTAAGGGCTGAAGATGTTGCTCAGTGGTACAGCACTTGTTTATCACGTAGAAGACCCTGAGTTAAATCCACGGCACCCACACATGTGAAAAAGAATTTCATTGCCAGTTAATAAATCACTAGGGGGAGGAGAGAGTCTGCTGGCATCTCATGGGGAGAAATCAGGAAATCTGATAAATATCCTGCAATCAGGCTCCTACATGTTAAAAGTGTTAACTTAAAAATATAAACAAGAAAGGGAACAAATTTAGAGGGTTTATGAAAGCACACAGCCAGGAGATTTCTCTTCATCAGGGACGACTTCTTGGAGGAAAGACCTGAGACACGAAGTGTGGTGGGTTGACTAACGGCCAACTTGGAGAGCCCAGCTGAGCTGAATCAGCCTGGTCTGGGCGTGGAGGACCCACCTGAGGATTGTTACCAAGGGCCAGAATTGGAGGACGGCAGGGACGATCGTGGCCTGTCGATTTTCTAGGAGAAGCTTGTTGCAGATGGTTTTCTTGATGCGAACTAAGCCGATCTCTTCGGAGGAGCAGCTGGGGCCTCACTGTGGCTGGGAACGGCTCCTGTTCTCATCAGGGGAGCTCCGATCTGCACCGTGAGCGTCACTTCCTGGCTCCAGTGTGGACCCCTCCGCCTGGCGGCCCAGAGCCTTCATCTCACCAGCGTGGGTTTTCCGGCTTCCACCCCTGGCCTTGGGCCTTCCCGGTGCAGATCCTCAATACGGACAAGCACGAGACATTGCCGTGGGCTCTGGGCCCCTGGCTGGACTCGGGGAGGACGCTGCCTTGGGCTCTGGGCCTTCAGCGGGGCTGTGTGGGACACCGCTGGGATCCGGGTCCTCAGCTGGATTCCTCGGGCCTCCAGTGTGCGGTCAGGCTCTTGCAGTCCTTTGCATTGTGCTTTTTGAGTAATTATCATCACATAATCCCATAAACTGTGTCCTGTAGTAAATGCATTCCCATGCCAAAGCCTGACAATGACATGGAGAATGCACAGCCAAGATCAAAAAGAGGAGAGAGGAAGGGCTGGAACACTTCTCCCCAGTGGCTTCTCCAACTCACCAGCTGGCTACAGCAGTGGTTCCTGGGGTGGGAGGGAGAGGCTGAGTGGAGGAGCCGGGGCTGTCCCTCCAGGCGGTCTTCTCCCCTCAGCCCTGCCAGGCAGGAGCCTAGGGGCTTTGACAAGTGCTGTTGCCAGGCAGCGGCCAGCCCAGTAAGCTGCAGACTCAGGGGGAGACGCTGGTGTTTCTGCAGAGCTCTCTTCTCTGAGGATTGTCAAACTAACTAGAGGACGCCCAATTACGTTTGCATCTCAGATAAGAAAATATATACGCAAGCAATGCATCCAAAATATTGCATTGGACGCACTTATATCAAAATGTATTTGTTGTTTATCAGAAATGCAAATTTAATCGGGCATCTTGCATTTGCATCTGCTAGATCTGGCAACGGTGAGATTGGTTTCTGTCAAAGTGGGGGCCCCTGCTTTAATAGACGGCTTCTTCAAGGAAGCAGGACAGGTGGCAAAGCAGGGGTCCTCCCCCAACTCGCTTCCGCCTTTGGTTCTCTTAAACCATTTCAGCCTTCACATTAAGCTGTGGATGCCCAGGGCGGGGAGCAGCCTCTCGGGCCAGTCCTGGCCCTGCCTTCTTGAACCCCAGGATCTGCCAGTGCTTGTGCTGCCTCCCTGAATGGCTTTCTCAGCAGTGTGCTGGGAAAAGCATGCTCATTAGATCAGTGCAAAGGCTACTCAGTATTTGTCACCGAAAATGAATTCCCTATTACTTTTCCCCTCTCAGATTATGGCCATTATTGTGCAAAGAGGCTCACTGGAGTGTTATAATGAGGTTAAATAATCTCCCATGGTTAAAGCCCACAACCTTTATTAAATATACAACCTTTATTATATTCTTGGGACAAATTAATATCCAAAGGTTCCTTGTAACTGAAAGTGGAAGTAAATTGAAGTCCAGAAGAATTAAAGGCTGAACTCAAACCCCCTTGCCCTTATGAGCCATAAGACAAAAGCAATTAGAATCCAAATTCATCTCCCCTCATTTTTTATTTTGTTCAGTCTCAGCCACGTGGGGGTCCCTTGATGTCAGCTAGCGGAGAGGACCCTGCAGCAGTTGCAGCCTGGGCTGTCTTCCCAGGACAGGTGGGTTTCCCTCAGGATTGCAGAGGTGGGAGGAGTCTCCTAGAACATCCTCCTAAAAGGGTTAAAGAGTAGTCACTGTGGCTTGAGCTCCCAGCCACAGCATTTTCCAGGGAAGCCAATTGCCAATTCCCTCTCTGAGAGGCACCCCCAGGCAGAGCTATGATGCCACAACCCACTTCCTAGTATAACCCGTGCCTGCATTATTATTGTTGAAGACAATGGCAGAAAATAGCTTTGGCCCCAGCTTTGCCAAGCTGTAAGGCAGCCTGTGCCGAGTGTCCAGCCATGCACAGATATAAATCCACCTGGAATGGGCCCAGCCAACTTCGTCTAGAAAGAGCTAGGAAAAAAAAAAAAGTATTTTCAGTTTTGTGAGCCATATGGTCTGTGTTGTAACTATTCAGCTGGGCCCTTTCAGGGCAAGGGAGCCACAGACAAATCCTCGGAGGAATGGGTACGGCTGTGTGGCAACAAAACTTCAGGAATGCAGCCAGGCTGTGATCGGCTGATCTGAACCAGAGAAATCTTGAGCCAGAGGCTGCATTTGGCACTAGGCATTTTCCACAGCTCCAGAGAAAGCCCATTTATACGTCTGTCCCTTCCTCAGCAGCATTCCAGATGTTCTATCCTCCGGCAAAGTTTTAATGTGAAGGTTTTATTTGAGATCCTTTTCATCCTACTTAGGATACTAATTTGTAGCAAGTAATGATCCTGTTCCATCGGTCATGTGCCCATTTTATCCTTAGGACTTTACACTCGGTCACTTCTCTGCTTTTTATGAGACTCCTTGGGTAAGAGGCTCTACTGTTCCTGTTTTACAGGTAAACCAACAAAGGCACAGGTATTATACACCTCGTCCACATCTACACAGCTCGAAAGTGGTAGAGACAGATCGGAATCCAGGCAGTCCACGAAGGCCAAAGCCGCTCCGTGTGTTTCCTCTCGAGCCCTGGGGGCTGGGAGCAGATCTGGCCTCAGGAGGGGTTTCTCAGGCTTGCAGAGCTTGGCGGCCCAGGTGCTTCTTTCTCCTCCTGCAGCTTCTGTCTCAGCAGCCAATCCGAGAATTGAGGTCTCTGCTGAGGCCAAGACTCCACCTCCCAAGGCCACCGAGGCCCTTCCCTCTCTGGCTCCTTCCGGTCCACCTCTTCTGCACGGGACATTTCCCGGGGTCATGACCCTTTGGCCAATCTGGAGGGTGTCACGAAGCCCACCCCAGAATATTTAGTTGGCTTTCTGGGCTTGACGGAGGGTCACAAAGGAAGACAATTATGCTGAGAAGCCGTATGTTCCATAAGCACACATTTGTGATGTAGCAACATTTATGATTGGATTATTGTGCTATGGATGCCTTGAATAATAGGATCGGAGGGCAGAATCTGAGCATCACCAAAATTTTGAGGTACCTGCAACAACTCTGATGCATTATAAAGAGAATCTGGGAGAATTATTGGTGACCAAGTTATAATGACTACTAGTATATTGATCCCAAAATGCAATGTGTATGTTAAAAGTTAGTAGAAGGAAGGTTGTGGTTATTTCTCCCTGATCCAAGTTCACAGACACCTTGAATTCTACCTGAAGACACTTCCGGAACTCTCTGCACCTAGGCTGAGAACTCCTAACACGTTTCACATTACTTGCTGGGCTCTT